AAAAAAAACCTTTGTCCTGCCATCGCTCTCCCTGAAGATTATGGCTAAAATGAGGCTCTTCAATTTTTCTTAGAGATCTTTAGCAACGTGCTCTGACATGGAAATCTTCCAACTGCTGACACATGTAAACATCGTAAACATACCCTTCCCGAAAGAACTTACAGCTTTTCTCTCCAGCATTCTTTTTTCCGCCTTGCTCGAGCCGCGAAGACCATGTTCGTTGAGCCAAATTTTGGAAAATTTCTCGAGGATTTTGACCATTTCTTTTCTTTATTGAATAAACAACTACAGCAAAGCACATGATTAACACAACAAATACAAGCGGCTGCAATAATAAAGAAAATGTTAAGAGAGCCTCGTTTTTACGCAATGTAAACACCCAATTCAATGTCACATGTGTGTTAGCCGAATTTGTCTATTGCGGTACTGATTTATGTCTTGTCTGCACCCTTGAGTGACATCAGCTTCTTCATCTCTTGGCATGAAATCAGAGAACAAAAACTGACAAAAATACAACAGACCGGTAAAAATCTAGAAAGAAATCTCGTGTTGAATGACGATTGAAATCCTCGCAAAAATTCATTGAACTACCACTTAAAATATTTACATTTGTGATGGGACGCAAGGTAAATACACCTGCCAAAAATCGGGACAGCCTAACTTCCTTTGATATGCCATTCTCATTTTCGTGTTGTGACGAAGGTGTGACGGTCAATACGTCGTATAGCATGCATGCAGAGGTCTCAATAGCAGACCTCTGCATGCAGGCTAAACATCATTTCCTTTCCGGCATGGACCTTGAGAAAAACAGGAAGGAAAACGATTGTCCTTAAGTGTCAAGCATGCACGTAAACTTGAGTTATCTTGATACGCGAGGAAACTTGGTAAAATGTTCAGAGATTGTACTCGTTAAAAGCAACTTGCCAAGTTGATATGACTCGTTCGTGACTGAAATTAAAGTAGGGGTAACAAAGAATCGTTCTTTGTTCTGTTGTAATCGAGACAAAACGAAACTTACGTTTGGGAGACAAGAAGGTTAGCCTAAAATATCAATCATCTCCCGCCCTCAGCCTAATCCCCGCGCGCGGGCGGTCTCTTTCCCGGGGATTAGGCCGAGGGCGGGAGATGACTGACATTTCAGGCTATGAGAAAAGCGTATTGCCAAATCAATTCGATATAGCTAAACCTTAGCTTATATCCCTCTTTTTAAGGTACAAAAATCAAATTTCCCCCAGCTCCCGACTCCAACTGATATAAATATAAACTGACGTTCGAACATACATTTTTTTTTATCAAGTATCTCGGGGTGACAATACTGCATTCGCGACTTGGAAAGTTACCAAATGCACCATCCAAACGTCAAACAGTCACGAAACAACAAGGTTCAGTCTCTATTCATAGCCTTAGTTTGTGCACCGTTGCTTCATCCAAAATTTCCGTAAGGAAGTTGTAAAGTAGTCTATTCACGCTTGAATGAATCAGCAAACCAAGCTAAATACTACTTGGTGTCGACTCCGAAATAAAGAACGTTTGGGAGATAAATTAATAATTTTCTATGTGCTTGTAAGTCATTTGTCGACGCAAGACGCAATGCGATAAAGCACCGCACCTTTAATTCAGATTTTATTTCTGACGTCCCTGAACAGCCGTTAAATTCTTGGCCCGAAGGAAGGTAACGCAGGACCTTTTGCAAATATTTCCCGAAGACGACTTGACAAAAACAACTTGGACTTATACAGTACTTGGATGTACAAGATAGCAAAATCTATCCAATCTAAACAACCAAACCTCACCAAAGCCTAAAAAAAATCATGGTCCATCTTTTCGAAGCGAAAATTATGCAATTGCGAGCAGAAACAGGAAAGAAATACAAGAAGTCTAGACGGAAAATATGAAGCAGGCAGCAAAATAAACAAAGTTTAATGATTTGATTGGTTGGCACCATTGATGACGCCAGTTCTACAATTAGTCAGAGAGAATATAAGCCCGTTTGACAGCACGGAGTCCAGAACTAAATTCCCTGTATTCAAGATGATGGCAGAAGCTTTCTTTCCGATTTTCACTTTGCTTGTCCTTTTTCAAGCTGGAAGCGCATCCCACGACAATAAGTCCCCATCGGCATGTCACTGTCGTCCAGTAATCAATGTTGCTGTGGATGGTAATGAACAGTGTGACTTGTGCGAAGGAAACAACCAGCTGTTACAGGAGGTGAACGAATTGAAGAAAGAACTGGCCTCAATAAAGGATCAAATCCAGGGAGGTTAGTAAAGTTAGTATTAACGATCTAGTTTATATCAAAAGTCTGCTGATATAATAGGCAAACAGGCGCTCAAGGATATTTCGGATATTAGTTTGCGTGCAGAGACTGCAGAGTGTGACCCAATTTTTCAAGCGCAAGATTCGCCGTCTTCATATAACTTAGCACATATCCTGTGAATACTGAGCTTAGTTCTACGTTGAAGTAATATCCACTTGGGACAAGGATCCTGGGTATGAAAAGGGTTCCCATCTTTCTGAAATAATTTCCAAAGTTCGAAAGCGGTTTGGAAAGAATTCTTAAGAGGTCCCTAAAGAGTTTCTTGGCTCTTAATATTGTATTTTTTGTTGTTGTTGTTGTCGTTGTTGTTTTTTGCTTGTTTGTTTGTTTGTTTTCAAGTTAAAATGGTCTAGATGTCTAAAAGCAATTTTTTGCATCCAAAAATGCTTAGCAATATTTTATGAAGGCTTCAAATGATTTGACCCTCTTTTAGAACTGTATAGCAATTGATTTGCCTCCAAGACAATTAAAATACTCTGACAAAGACAACTTAATCATCTAGGAAACAATCCTCAAGGCGAGTATTGTGCAGATATTGAGCACCCTGATGGAAGCAACGGCGGTACATGCGTCTTCAGTGAGCAATGCAGCAAAGTTACATGCACTTCACCACCAGACAGTACTGGGCCATTTGGCCACATGGTCATCACTGTACAAGCGTATGGATGCCAACCCCTGATAGCCACAGTTACCATGCAGACATATCAGCCTCCCATGAAGTGGTCGCATACATTTGAAGATGGCGAGCAAACTCCCTTGCCAATGCAAGTACCTGCAGGCCCTGTCAACGTGACATTAGTCCTGCAGGTCGAACTAAAGAAATATGGTGGAAAAATCAACTTCAAGGTACCGTGAAAAACAGATCATTACATGCGTGAAAGTCAATGTGTGTTAGCCAGTTAGTTTGTTTATCTGTCAAGTTCCTTTTTTCTATTAATTGCAAACAAATGTTATTGAGACTGACCGTATGTGCTGTACTCTATCCAAGTGAATATAAAAAATAGGGTAGCAGGTAGCGGTAAGGGTTTTTGGTGATATTGTGCAAACCGAAACGGATTTTGTTGGAATGTACTCTGCAAGCAGCGAGGGTGTTCGTCTTGCTTGGCTGTCTGCTTAGACTACAAACAGTCCCTCTTTCGCTTAGTGGTAATATTAGGCTGTAATTAGCTCCAGCTTGTACCCTTTCACCCTTTCTGTACCAAACCCTTGGCCCTGATCTAAACATGTTTAAATTAGCAATGCTTTAATTTAATGGCTAACCAGTCAAAATCATTGATGATTACCGTGTTTTGGTATTGTTTATGATCTTACAGTTACTGCTGTCACGGTTGTTTGAATCAGACATTGCATCCTATAATGTTACATTCCTTAAAGGAGATTTGCATTCTTCTACATGCGGTAAGCCCCAAGCATAAATAGACTCTAAATACTCAATTAAATTCTCTGATCGAGAGCCCTTAAGTTAGCTCTTTACATCCCTGTCTCTTCGTAGTATGCAAGGGACAAGGCCCAAGCTGCAAAAAATAAGTGCCTTTTATTTCATCACAGACTTTTACCCACATTATGTTTGAGAACACTAATTAGAAAAGGTCCAACACCCTGTTTGCATGGACGTTTAGGCAGATTTTTGTGTTCATAAATCCCAGTTCTACTTTATTATCAGGTGAACGATTGATTTTGACATCTTCCTTTCCTTGACGCAATGCGTTGACCCTTTTAACTCTCACCCAATGTAATAATTTAACCAAAGCCGATAATCAATTTCGTATGTTCCGACAGGTTTGTCCGAAAGTCCATACGATCTTTATTTCACGAAAAGTACTACAAGTGATTATGTCATCCATCATGGCCTCCAAATCACCGATGCTTTTACCATGTGTTTCCGAGTGCGTACAACAGACAAAACAGGAACGGATCGGACGGTCGTGAGTTACAGCACTCCCACACACACCAATGAAATTTTAATCAACAAGATGTCTCAAATCCAGTTATGGATCAACGACAAACTAATGTAAGATAACTAGTGGAACAGTAAACCGAACACAACTCTTGCATCTACCTTACTGTTTGTTAGCAACGTTCACCGGAACTTTACACGCAAATCGAGGAGGCAAACGCGTGAGACTCAAAATTCAAATTTCGCAATTTGAGAGAAAAATTTTGTTGAAGGGAGTTAGTCTTTTTCCATAAACTGACCGCGTTAACAAAGAGACAGTCTCAGAATTGGTGCTGCAGTTTTAAAGCCATGTGATACGGTTGGTGTTGGACAAAACCTTTAGAAGAAAAACATGATTGACAAATTATTGTTTTAAGCAAAGCACGTTAAGATACACAAGTTAACAGTCACGATGTGTCCTATCTATTTTGTATAGTTTGGAGAAAGAGAGCTTACTGAACACGGATAATCATTTAAACTAAGGTTGAGGCTGATAAAAACGGTTTTATCTTTCCATGTATAATTACTTGTTTAACGGAGGAATAGGGAATGAAGCGAGAATCGGGTAAAATCCATGAGATCCATTTACTTCGGTCTGAAGCTATGGCCAGTGATACATTCAAAATCAAAGTACACAACAGTGAGATATGGCAATATAAAGTTGATGCCTTTGTATTTGTTTTATTTTCATTTCAGCCAAACGGGAATCTCTGCCAATGACGGTTTCTGGCATCACATCTGTGCTTCATGGGAAAGCAAAGCTGGGTCTTGGAAAATTTACAAAGATGGCGTCTCTCAAGCCAAAGGATCGGGGTTAAAGACCGGTCACGTGGTCAACACAAACGGAATCCTTATCATTGGGCAGGAGCAAGACTCGTTTGGAGGAGGATTTGACGCCACTCAAAACTACATTGGAGAACTCACTGATCTGAACATGTGGGACAGGGTCCTCGACGCAAGTGAAGTATCAAACTTGTCCAAGTCGTGTCACGGGGGGAGGGGTAATGTCAAAAAGTGGTCTGATTTTAAAGTTGGACTTAGAGGTGATGTGAGAGTTATTTCTCCATCTACCTGCGAAATATGAACTATCGTTTGTAAGTTTTTGTTCTGCTTAAGTAAAGTTTCTCTTAAGCGTGGATCAAAGAAGGATGATTGTTTTTAGATATAAGGTTGTCAAAATGCAATAAATGGATGTTATAGCAGTTTTACTAATTCCTGCTTCTTGAAGCATGTATCTTCAGGGGTTTGGGAGTAAGAATCGAGGGGAGACTTAATGGAACCCTTAAGTGGTGCCAATTTCAAAATGGACCTCATGGCATGTCAGAGATCTAGTCTCAATTGTCACGATTTCCTCACAAGGAAAAGTAGCTTTTTATTGTAAATACAAATGGTGCAAGGGACCGTAAACGAAAATGCTGCTGTTATACGCAGGATCTGTGAAAAAAAAAATAGAAAGCCACACCGTGCTGACGAGACACAACCAGGTCGAAACAGCTGTCCACGGTCGCAATTGTTGGCTTTGAGTTTGAACTCTCTCATGTCTTTTAGATTTCTACGTAGTTATCAGTCTTGCTTCATTATTTGTTTATTGTGCTGTTAAAATTAAAAAGGTGACTACTATAAGCCCGAAATGAGTCTAAGATTCATGAGCCACGAGTCAATGATTCTTTCAAGTATATACATCGTGTTTACCATTCTCGTCTCCAGAGCTACCTGTCACTCGTAGCCGGTCGGGCCTTCATACCCGGAAAAACTAGCTCCGGAGGCATGACATGATTGGCCAGATTCTTTGTATGAGATTCTCACTCATTAAATCCTGGTTTCCTTCTCTAGAATATCCTAGAACCGTTCACTAGCAGCACTTACAGACCTTATCAGATGTTAGCAAAGGGAATTTACAACAAAAGCAAATTTTTGACGGGAAGTGCCATTGATATGTTAAAAATTCTCCTCGTAAAAAGGTTTTAAAGTTCCCGACGTTCTGTGGATGCTGTGATGGAACGGCATTTGTCACGGGATGAACCAGTGATACTTTCGAGAAGGGGATCAGTGCTGAGTTTGAAAACCAAGAATAAAAAAAAAAATTAAAATATAGATATGTATGTGACCTTTATTTACCATGGGCAATGTTTATACAAGTGCTAATGGGGCCGAGCAAACAACTGAAACAAATAATTCAAATTGAACACAACATTGTCAAGATTCCCAACTGGCTGGAGGCAAACCAGTCGGCTATTTATAAGCGTGGCCGAGGATTTGAACTCGGGGCTACCGAGAAACAAATTTAGGTAGTGGTCGGAGCGGGACTCGAACCCGGGACCGCTGGATTGCGAGTCCGACACGCTGACCACTCGGCCACGCTGCCTAGTGCCTGCCTCCAAGAATCTAGCCAATCAAATCATCTTTCAAGAGAGCCACTTTTCCCTCTTGCCAAAGCCCCGCCGGATTAGTGAGAAAAGCGGCCTGGACACAAGAATGAAATTCAACAAACCACTCATTCTTACAACAGCAAGGAAAACAGCTTTTCTCGGCAAGGAACACAATGCATAACCAGACATCAACAACTAATGCTAGTTGTGGAAGAAATTTCTATACTATCATTTCTTTCACAAGAATAAATACCTATACTATGTTCACACACTGATTTACATCATTGCCATAAAACACTTGATTCCAGTTCTGAACTTGTACTCCAAAACACGGTAAACTACTACAGCTTATCCTCACAAAATCCAGCGATACATAAAGATATGAAGAGGACGTCATTGGCCGGTTATAGCCAAGATGAACCTTTAAATTCTCAGAACTAACAGTAAACAATACTTAGCACTCTTAAAAGGGAATTTCAATTTTGATCATGGGAGTAAAGGGTTTAATTCGCAAGTAAATAAGTCGAGATGTTCCAGACGCAATGTACATGTAACATATGGCTGGAGCTGACAACAAAACAAAGTAGATCTACTTCTTGGCTCAAGAACCATGGTCTCAAGGTGCAGTTTTGTACCAGCAAGAGTAATATTTCTGCAAGGCCAAAACTTCAATCTACTTTAATGTATTGTCTTCAGTGTAAATCCAATCCAGCAGAAAGACAAGTACTGAATACGCATGCGCTACAACAAACAAAAGGGCGCCTTCTGCTGGTAAAGAAGCCTAGTGCGATATATTAAAACTATACTTTTGATATAGAGAGCGGTTTTCAATTGAGAGTCGTAAAAAACCAAAGTAATAACTCTAGCCAATCACAAAG